TCAAAGAAGAGAAGAGATGAAACCAATTACATTCCAGTACAATTAGGACAAGGCCGCAGGAATGCCAGGAAACGATTCGAACCAGTCTTCTTCGTCCTATTCTTTAATAAAACATATTATTTAAACATATTAAAACATATTTAGCGCCTGTCCTGTTTACTTCTTGTCCTTGTTTCTGTTGCGCTATTTTATATGTTTTACTAAGATGAACCAACTAGCCCAACAACGTACCTTACTGAATATTGTTTAACTTTTTTTTTCTCAGTATGTATAGTATGTATAATTTGTGTGTACTCGCACGGCCGCTGCTGCGGAAACTTCTTTTATGCTGGGAACCCGTCAAGCTGCACATGTAGATTTTTCCTCAGCCTTCAATTACCATTGTAAAAATAATTGTAAATAAAATTGAATTGAATTAAATTGTTTATGTACATTTCCCCCCCTACATAATGCCCTTCACGGGCCTGTATATTACCTCACGTTTCCGCCTAGCTCACTTGAATCTGCCTTTTTTTTTCTAAAATGCGTACTGCGCGTGCGTGCAATGTTGTTTTTATTTTCGATAGCTTAGTTGGCACGATCATATTAACTACGTAGTTGGGAAAGGAAGTCATTCCTTGGGGATTCGTCAAACGGACGTTGTATTTAGCTTCCCCTGAAACTCGTTTGCTAGCTTTTAAGTCCTTTGTCAGATCTCAGCTTGAATATGCCAGAATCTAATGGCCTCCCCACCAGGATTACCTGACTGCCCAAATAGAAAGAATTCAAAACAAAGCCGCGCGTTTCATATATAGTGACTGTTCACCTTACCCGAGCGTTTCGGCGCTGAAACAAAGGGATAATTTACCCTTATTAGTCGCCAGGCACAAAGTCTCCCGTCTGGCGTTCATCCACAATATTTATTACTTTGATGTGAACCTTAAGGAACGCTTTTTGCCTCCCCTCATCGCATTTTTCCCATACATGACCATCTCACAAAATTCGCTTCTCGAATTGTCACACTAACCACTTTCGCAACTCGCCATTACAGCTTGCCATTACAGAATGGAACTCATTGCCCCACCACGTGGTAGATATAACGGATAAAAATGAATTCCAATCTGCATGTGAACGTTTGTTTCACTTTTCCCAGGAGTAAGTGCATAGGATGGTGTCCTTTTTGTTTTTTGAATGTGCGAAGATAGTTTAATTTCTTTTCGTGCGGCCTGGTTGGCGCGATGCTTCTTGTTTGTGAACCAGTGTACTTCTTTTCAGTGTGTATATCGCATTACTTTTGTTTGTGTACGAGTGTACTTTTTTTAGTGGGTATATTTGCATTGTTATTAAGCAAATAAGCAAATTAATAAGCAAGTTTAAGCAAATATGTACGAAATTTATTGTTTCAGTATTTTTGATAAAAAAACGTGTATTCCCCCCTCATACAATGCCCGAAAGGGCGCTTTGAGGTATACAAATAAATAAATAAAAACACTCGACACTCCTGGATTCGAAATAGCGTTGTACCAAAACAGAACCGCCATCCTGTAGTATCGGGTGCAAGCCTAGTTTACCGAACCCTTTTTGTGGTGAAGAGCTTTTCTCGTTTTGCGTGTGCCAATGTGTTCGAAAAATGTTAGCACGCGGTCACACACGCATGTGTATTGATGGAAAGTAGGGAAGAAAGACCATTTTGATCGCATCGAAGGAATGGAGCAACAACAATCGTGTCGTCGACACTTCGTGAGCCTATCTGTTTCGATCGAAGGCTTTGTACTTACTTTATGCCACTACATAGTCGTCGTCTGTACGGTGTCGGCTATCACCTTCTATCGAAATAGTGTTTTTTTATTGTGAGGTGATCTGCATGAATTCGTGTCGCAGCGTCAACAATAATAATAATAATAATAATAATAATAATAATAATAATAATAATAATACTTCGTATTCTGGGACGGTCGACCCAGGCACACAGGATCGCAAAAAGGCAGTGCACCCATACCACGAGGGCTTGCCTGCCCAGCCTGGCGTCCGATGATGATGATGATGACGATGTTTGGGGTGATGATGATGATGGGATGGTGAAGAGCGTTAGGCCTAGCAGCGGTCTTCGCGACAGTGGTCTCCGCGGGGCCGCCATGGCCCGCTGACGTCTAGCAGGCATGTCTCGAGCGCCAGGCCAGGGCTCCCTGCGTGAACAGCTCGCAGACGAGCCGGCCGAATTCCCGGCGACGCAGGAAGTCCAGCACCCTCGTGGTCGAGCTCCAGGGTTCGGCGCCGGTGTTGGCCGGGCGGCGGTCTCCGCGAAAGCGGGCCTAAAATCGAGCTTGTAACCGAGCTGACCGAGCACCCTGTCGATCGAGGACATGCTGTGTGCCGCTGGTCCGGCTGGCTCTCGGATGATGGAAAGAAACATCTTAAGCCCAGCTGGCTTCCTCTTCTTCGTTTGTTGTCTTCTGCCTCAGCGTTTGTTTAAATTATACGGTCCTCGGAGGGGTTTGCACGGTTTGGATGATGACGACTCAGTGGTTCACCTCAAACACGAACCAGGTTTTAGTTACCCAGAGTATTAGTGTCTGACCGCCGTTCAAAGTTCATGTCCTGCAGTTTGAGAACTTTCTACAAGACAGAGGTATTATATACTCGATGTGCTCGATTTACTACTCACAAGCAAACAGACAGGTTGAACGCTTCAGCAGGGTGCTCAAAGACTATTCTCATAGCATCTTGTTGGAAAAAGGCGACATCCAGATTGATCTGGTAGACTTCTTGAGAGTTTATCGTTGTACACAACAAGCAGCTACAAGTCTGTCACCATCAGTGTTACTACGTGGACGACTGATGCTTGCGAGACTTGACATTGTGGGGCTCCCGCATCCAGACATTTCAGAAGATGCTTTACTCTGCTCACCCTTAGGAAGCCCTGAGGAGGCATCCGAAATAGCCTAATATGGCAATAACTCGCACTGTTCCCTCTAAACACCTTAGAAATCCCTAAATCATGACGATACGCGGCCGATTTTCCTGTTAAAGAAAAGGAAACAATGAAAAATCACAACACAACGAGGCCATCTCCGGCGATGGGAGGAGCATGTTTCGAAACCAGGACCACTGTCAGTCAATAATCAGCAAAGGATCCTCGTGCCTCCCACCGGTGGAACCGCGGAGTGATATCTGGAACGCACGCGGTTCGTTGTCCATACAGCGCGGACTACGATTCAACCCAGCGAGCGCGCGCTCGACAGCTAACGACCCGCGAAAGACAGACAAACAAAACATAGTGCGTTGTTCTTTTAGAAGATTATCGCAGTATTGTGTTCCTTCTCTGCAAAAATAACATTTTCCGGCAACTCTTACTTGCTTTGATCATCTACAAAAGCATACACAGTTTGCGATAACAGCGTTTGCTTGCAATCTCAACAAAATGTCGCGTTTTCATTTGTCACGTTTCGTCCTGACTGCCGCAACGATGCTCCTCTTATCACCGGAGGTGACCTCGGTTTGTCCGATCTTTGACTGCTTTTTTTTAATAGAAAAACCGGCCGCGCATCGTCATGGTTTGTGGATTTCTAGGATGCTTAGTGCCCGCCGAGTGAGTTATAGCCATATTTATGCGATCTCAGAAACCTACTCACAGACAGACCGACTAGAAGCTCTGCCTTCAGCCCGAGCTTCCTGCCCTTGCTAAGAGAAGTGTGAACGCACAGGCACGCGCAACTAAAGCACCGCGGAAGCCAGCGGGCTCGAGCTGAAGGCGGAGCTTCTGGTATCAGCCCAAGGGTGAACGGTGTACAGGGGCGCGATTAATGACCTTTGTGGCAGCGTGGAGAAGTACAAGAACAACTTGAAAAGCTACGCCGACCAACGCTAGTGGCCGAGAATCTGAAGTTCAGGCGCGCTCGACTGCCAGGACACGCAACAAAGGGCAGTTCACCGTTTACTCCTGCAGTAAGGGTCGAGAAAGCGCAACTTTCCTAAGACCTGCAACTTTTCTAACAGAAGACAGAAAACACCTAAAGCAGAAACATTCGTACGGTATTGACCCAAAAGGAATAAGCGACCACCCGATCGTTACTCTAACCTTTTACCTTGGGGGGCATGCTGGCTGTGAAAGAATAAGCGAAGACTGGAGGTGCTACGAGTGGGAAGAAGAGGAGGCAAAGAAGGGGATAGAACAAAGATGTTCGGTCACGCACTGTGACTATACTTCGTTTCAGCTTTGGTCCAAGCGCGGCCGATGTTATGAGCCGAAGAGCCAACCAAATAGCGAAAGAGGCACAGCGTCATGGCGTGCTCTCTGCAGTTGTTAGGACAAGCCGGTATTCACCGTCTCTCTGTGCGTGCTCCTCCGCCGGTTATAGTCTTATCAAGCGCAGAGAACACGCCATGACGCTGCGCTTTTTGTGCTGTTTGATTGGCCCTTCGGCTCATAACATCGGCCGCGCTGGGGCCGAAGCTGAAACGAAGTATATGCTTACAATACAACACTCATCCCGAAGATATGTTACTGGAAATGCCACGAAGATACCCCGCGATCAAATAAGTCGGAGAGGCCTTGCGAACGCGTCGTGTTCGAAAATTCGGCAGCATATGCTTGTAAAAAAAAAAAAAAAGGTGCAGTACATTGAGGCAAAATTCACAGGGTCTCTAATGTTATCCCTCAGACGACTTGAAGCCGAAAGCCCAAGTGCCGATGCATTGAAGACAGACACGATTCGCTCGCTGAGTCATCCCTCTTAATATGCTGAGTCATCCCTCCTAATGTGCTGAGTCATCGTTCTCAATCTGCCGAGTCATCGTTCTCAATGCTGTCATCATCTTAATTCGTTTAGTCATCCATTGAGGGGTCACGTAAACGTTTTGGTACCTTTCGTGTCGACGACGTGTTTGGACTCGGTCGACTGAACAGTGAGACATATAAGTCTACCGCCTTAATAACCCACTGGACGAGTGTGGGGGCACTGGGATCGAATCTGATACAAACGTCGTAGTAGAAGGCAACAGGTGACGTAATGTCTGTTGGTATGGAAGCCTCAAAAACAAACCACGGCAAGGATTCTCGAGACCGCGATTAGCGCGGATGAGACATTCTTTGTCTCGATTCCGCGCTTATCGACGGGCAGCGTATCAGTCGGACGGGCCCTATCGGCAGCCTCGGGACAATAGTCGCGAAGGGACAACGGTCGGAAGGGCCCGACTAGTGCCAGGCGGTCGCGGTTGGCGTGCGAGTCCCAGCGAGCGTGATTTGGCGGCAACCACCGGCAAGCGCACCGGCGGCCACGTCCTCCCTCTGGCTATGGCCGCTCTCTGACACATCGGTGCCGGGACGCATCAAGTCGTCCGGACGCACCCGTCCTAGCTGGGAGCCAACATGGGATCCAAGACGTGCGTGGCGGCAGCACACGCCGACACCGAGGACGCCAAAGGTCGGTTCGCTCGTCCAGGGACGCTCCGCCGTCCTCCGGGGCCGGCTTGCTATAAACAGGGAGTCTCGGCTGAGACTGTGTGAAAGAGCCTGCCCGGGGAGCGCGAGCTCTGGAAACTCCTCTTCACGTGCTACGCCGCTCATGGCAGTGCTTTCTTTCGAGCAGTCTTCTGTTTCTATCAAGCCGGCCCTGGTGCACCCAAAGGCTCTGGGTGCACCGTGCCCCGGTGCCACGTGATTCTGGTCGTCTGCTCGATGAAGGAGCGCGGTTAGCAGGCCGTCCATGAAACAATGGCGACTCCTAATCACTCAAGCCCCGCTCACGCTGCAGCACTGAAAGACAGCGTGTTTCGTCCTCGTATGATGCTCATCGTATTTTCTGCGGACGTACTCGAAGCATGGACGAAGCAAACGTTCTTCGAACATGCTTCTAGCATTTCCGCAGATAATTTTGTCATTGTGTCAGCGAACACCGTGTCATTTGTGTGATTTATCGGCAGTACGATCTGAGGCTTTATGCTATTTGCAACTTTCACGTCAAAATGGCTGTCATCTGGATGATCGTCGTAGAACCGCAGGACGAGGTTGGGTCTGCGACGCGTAATTTTAATTGTGTGCAATGCGAGCGATATTAGAGCCGTACCTGATACTTGAACGTCAAGGATGGGTAAGCAAGCAGCTTCGATCGGAAGCCGATCATCCAGTTGCTAGGGATCGCGATTCTCGCATCGCGGTGTATAGCACCATCGCTGAAGGTTGCGAATAGCTGTAAAAAGGAAATCGGCTGAATTTGCTAGTTTAGTATCGGCGATTACGGTCAGCAGCAAGTCTGTCTGGACACGACTCGGGGCTCCTGGAGAGACGGACGCAGTGTTGGCGTTGCATTAGGACGCTTGGCACCCTAGAGACCAACGCGTTCGATAAACCCTTTCCTATTTTTTCTTCTTAATCTCGTACACGCACACGACCTCCGAGATTCGTGTCCGCATCTTTGGCACGCGTACAAAAATGCATTATGAAAACCCGAAAAGCAGAAACAAGAAAACTTGAGCGCGTCTATTTTTTGTCGTTCCTGAGGTTTTAATAATTGACAAAGTTCACTACGGGTCGATCACGTTGAAAAATACCCGGGACTGTGGGGAAAGATGGAAAACTTGGTAGAAGAAAAAGGACGCGGAATTGTTCCTTTTTCTTTCTTCTACCAAGTTTCCCTTCTAGTCTGGGGTAATTTTCAACATGAGAAACATCCACCGGCTCGCTTGCACACTCCCTGTAGAGAGAGAGAAATAACTTTATTGAGAATTGTTAAAGTGCCAGCTGAACGTTTTAAAGACACACACACACAGAGGAACGAAAAAGGCAGACACACCGCTGGTGTGTCTGCCTTTGAGAAGCTGGTGATCTTAGGTGTCGCCAAGAGCGCCCGTGTTTCCTCCGTTATTTCTAAATAGCGCATATTTCTGGCGTAGCCAAGATCTCTAAAGAATACCGCTGGTTCGAACGTCTGTGTCGCTCCCATCGAGTGAGCAAAGATCGACTGACAGGAGGAACCGTGCTTCACATGCCGCCTGATTAACCACAAGTATAGAGAGTATTCACTGGACGCCATATTCGAGGGCGATGTTTAGAGCGCATGCTCGGAACGAGCTCACGTTAATAGGCTGCTAGGACCGGCAACCTTGATGTTGCTAAATGCACGCTCCAAAAGGACTGCGGAAGCTCGCCGTCAGCACGCGCTCAGCAGCAGCGCACACGGGCCGTCCCTATTCGCGACTCCAACTAACTATAGGTGGCGCCACTCATTTCCCAAGATGGCGGGTTTAGTGAGGGTCAGAGATGCGTGCCGCTGTTGAGCCTGTCTAGTGTGCTGGCTTCACTGAGCGACATAAATTATTTCTGGTAATACGAGGAAGCTAATGTTTTATGAACACAGGTCACCTTTTTAACCTGAAAACAAGAACGGTGTTTAGCGTATTAATTACGGAAGGATGCGCGTTTTAATTCTGGAGCGAAACCGAAACTTACCTCTATTTTGGACTTAATTTCTCGACAGAGGTCTTAATTTCGGATTTTTTCGTGACTCAAGATGTGTCTCACATCGTAATTATTTACTTAGAAAAGTTGTTCGCGGAAACTTCATGTTGTGACATACTGTTCGATCCAGGCTGATATTCGTCGTTGTTGAAAAAATCAGTGCTGATATCAGTGCGTTCTCGCAGCCTTTTTCTCGCTCGGATAATTGTCATGGGAAATTATGACAATTATCCCAGCACAAGAATAAGAGAATAATTCCAATTTTTGCAATATGTCCACGAAACGCCTAGACTAATAAACGCTGCTCTCACTGCAACAACTCAAAACGGAATCCGAATCATACAGCTGAAGTGTGTGTGTGTTTTTATAGCACCGCGTGACGCGCAGGACTTCATAATACATCCAGCGTTTAACTGTTCGTCTATCTTGATAACTATGTCAGAGTTTTTCATATGCTAAAAAGAAAACAGAATTACACCTTTGTGGAAAGACTATTATGGTTAAATAGAGTATTCTTGTGATCTTTGCGTTAATTAGAGGCATACATTGCCGCGATATGTATTAATAATAATAATATTAAAATTCACATATTTGAATAAGTAATTCTTCAAGCTCTAATTTGTTGCTTATGATCTAATTTTAGACGCGCGAAGAAATATGACAATGAAAACTGTGCTAATTATCATCACTGGTTCCAATGGACCCTTTCCGAAATTCAGACTGGCCACTTTGATCACTGTCATCATCTATGGAACTGCATCTGTGCCATACCAATGGCGGCCTTCTAGTGACTGATGACGGAAAACGTTGAAGATGCCCCTAAACGGATGTTGCGAGCCCTGTACATTCGGGGGGTCAGTACGACGCGACGTAGGAATGGAACGCAAGAGCTACGTAAGCGTTTATTTCTAATAACTAAGATTCAGTCATTCTGTGGGCGACACACAATCGGCTTTAAAGCACTTTGGTGTATAGAATTTTCTCGAGGCATCTTAGTGGGTTGGAGCTTTCTTCTAAATGCAGGTTCTTGGTCACCATCGAACTGAAAGTGACCGAGAAAGAACTCATATACTGAACAATTCCTCGCGTGCCGCTGATTTCCGAAAGTGACGGTGCCGATACAAGTTCATTTCCGCCATTCATATGGCAAAACCTAATTTGCTTTACAAACCACCAGATGGCACTGAATTTCGGAAAGGGTCTATTGCTGCATTTTAGTTACAGATTAAATAAAAATAGTAATCAATTAAAACATCCTAGCTAATGTGAGAAATCTATGTAAAATTACATTAATTGTGGGTAAAGTATATTGTGCTATCAAAGTCGCGACTTTCGACAATCGGCGAAACGTCCGAAGTTGCCGCCAATATAGACGCTTTCAGGCAGCTGTGCATGGGCGCCGCCATAACCGACCTTCAGTTTTTGTTCCCTCTTATTCCGTACGCTCCACTTCATCATTACCACAGCAGGACAGGTTATTGTAATTTTAAGTGTTACTGTGTCGTTCTTCCCAGCATAGGCCCTTGTGGAGACTCGTCAACGCCCGCTTCAGTGGCTGGGCATCTCAGTAAGACCAGAGAAGGTCGGTTATGGCGGCTCAATTTGGCGCGAGCTGAAAGCGTCTATACTTCCAGACCAAATGCCCAAAAGTTAAAAAAAAAAAAGTTTTTTTTAATTACTAGTTTTTTCATAACATTTAGTTACTTGCATTTTTACGCTCCGTCGTTTTGCCAATCTCAGCCTTTCCAGTTCGAAGGAACGCCTACCTGCTTGCACGTCTGCTCACTGCAGCACGTTTCGTTGGCGTTGGAAGCCGGTGAAACAGTAGTGAGTTTTAATTTTGCGTATACGAGCGAACTCAACCCCTGTGTGTTTGCGTTAGCTTTGCGCGTTCCAAACTGAACGTGCGCGGAGCCCGAAATCGCGGTCTTGGATGGCGCACGGCGATGAGGCGCACGCACAACGTGGGGCACGCAACTCTAACGCAAACGCACACCGCTTGCATTTGCTTCTATGCGCAATACTAAAACTCTCCAGTAAGGTACCATCCCATTCCGGCTGCAGCACTACGTTGGGACAGTGAAGAGTGTTGTTTGCATTCGGAAACGACATTTCGCGAGCCATGACCACGAGCAGTTTCGCCATGCCCGCTGAGCAGGAGAATCGGGGGACACTCACTAGAGCGCTTCCCGTTTCCGCCGCGGGAGGGCGAGCGTCGAGCTGAGCGAGTCGAAGAGACGCGCGCCCGTAATAATAGTATGTTTCTGATTGGTCGGTGCACGGCAAAGGACCTACTTCGTATATGCAATGCGGCCTATGAAACATGCTCGTAAAATTCTGTAGAGGACTTCCTCCTTCCCGTTGTGCGCATCACGTTACCTTTCGGTGGCTCTGTCGTTCCTTCCGCCATAAAGCAAATGTCCGAGCCAACATTAAAAAATAGCTACGCGGTCGCTGGATCGGGTTCGCGGACCCTTTTTATCGGCGGACATTTTTGATTCGCGGGCATTTTTATCCGTGGGTCCACGCATCTTCAAACGGGAATCGTTACGGCGAGCTGCATTCCCAAGGCCATCTTTGCTGGCCGTCGGCGCGTGTGTGCAACCAGTTAATAGAGTTTTAGTAGATCGTGTTTTCGGGCCACGCTATTCGTATATAGCGGGAGCTCGCGGTACCCCTCCGAGGCATGCTGCGAAGCGCGCGCCTGTAGCGGTAGCGGGCCTTTGAAAACGATCTACTAAAACTCTCTAATATGCGCATACACGTTGAAAGATATCAGTGATGAGATAGCGGGGATGATAAAAGTTCAGCACGGGAAGCTCAGCTCTTCCAAACTGGAAGTTCGAGACAATAACGGCCCGCGCGAGGCGATAATTTGCACGATCGAGACACATGGAGAATAGTCGTCTCGACGCCTCGCTAAATTCCCCAAGCATCAAAGAGAACGCTGGGAATAGTGTTCTACGC